GCTATATTTGCGAAGATTAATTTTATTAGTCTAAATGATGGTTACTAAGTCTTTTTTTTCTTTTTTTAATTTAGATTATCCAAGCTGTGCTTTCGTTGGCAGGGTTGCAGATACTCGTTGGCACGGTAATTGTATGAACTGTAAATCAAATTTTTGTTAATTCTTGTTGGTATCGGTGATATAGTGCCTGGTGAATAAAGAAAGAGAAACATTAAATTGGGTGTCGTATACCAGATAATTTTTAAGATCGTTTATTACTTCGTTTTCTAAAGCACTGCGCGAAAGAACATATCATATTTTTATGATTATCAGCAAAAAAACACCGATTGATTCGAACGCATTAATTAATTTATTAAAAAATATGATTGCTTTAATTATAATGAATTATAATTAAATATCTTTTGTGTATTATTCTAGGATACTCTTCCCTGAGAAACAAAGCACTATTACCGAATGAAACCCTAGACATCATATTAAAAGCGCCAAATTTACATCGATTCGGTGCGTGAATTTGTAGAAAAAGATAATAAAGCTGAAGGGTATACATCAGGAGTATGCTCTAAATTCTTTAATTGAACTGGACGATGGTATAAGTATTCTAAAAAAAAATGTTATTAATGGTTTGCGGAATATAGATTAGCAACAATTCAAAGTTTTCAACATTTGCAGAAGAAAATACCCTTTTACTTTAATGAGTGTGCATGGAAGATCTAAAGTTGACTTTTTCTATTTTCTTTATTATATAGGTACAGCCGTTAGTCTTTTCAGGGCGGAGAATCAGGCACGCAAATAAGCTTCCATTTTGCCGGCGTGGCGCTGTGAATATAACTTTTGGAGTTCCGCGTATCAAGGCAATCATAGATGCGTCAAGGACTATAAGCACACTTGCAAGCTTGTTTCTGATACGAATTTAACTGCAACCAGAATAGTCAAAGTTCCCCTCGAGACAGCAATCATTTACTTTCCAAATTTAAAGACTGACTCTAAAGATAAATCAATAATTTATAGATTGCCAAGTCTATTGGAGACAAATAAGGTGGCTGTTTTTTAACAACTTTGGACTTGGAAACTATGATTTATATTGAAAATTTATTGCACAAGTTATAATCAAGTATAAATTGAACTGTATAAAATACACATGATGTAATTAATCGAATCAAACCCAAAATCCGTTGACAACCTGTAAATTAAACTAACGCTAAGTACTGAGAAAAGTTTGTAAGTCAAAATATAAACTCAAACCTGACAATTCAAATTTTATCTTAAAAAATTATCAATATGAAAATGATTATTTCAATTATACACAATTGTTCAATCACTTAATGCAACCGAGTCTTGAAAAATAGGTCGTATTTTTGATCAATTTAAGGTAAAAAAAATAGACAATGTTCGTCAAATTTCTAACATTCTAATCATGTCTTACATAGGATAGTTAATTTAAATTTGCCCTTTGATATCGATTTTCGAGTTCTTCATACTGCTTGCACGAAGAGGAGCTTCCGCTTTTTTGGTGTCGAGAAAACGATCATCTGTGATACACTCAACATTGTGTTCTTTTAGGAATTTGATGCATTCTTGAAGGTCGACAAAGCTAAGTTCTCTTGTGGCGAATTCGAGATCAAGAGTCGGTCGGAATCTAATAAAAATGTAAAGATTGTTATTTATTTTATTCAATAAATTAATAAATTTTGAAATTGACTTACGCTTCACATAAAGCCAACAATGCATCGACTCTTTCTCTACCAACAAAATGATCTATCAAATAACCGCCCATATATGGTGCTTCCATATATAACCGGAAAAATTTGTGATAATTTGAAGTTGCTAAGGCAGACCTTACATCTAATGCATGTTTTATGGTTGGATCATTACGCATTTCTGGAGTTAATGTGACGATTAACTTCATAATATCTAAAAAAAAATCGATAATTTTCTATATATTAATTCTCATGTATTAATAAGAAGAAACATAAACTGATGAACTATATACCTGATCTATTTTTGGTATGTAGAAAATATAAAAGACGATATGCCGTGAATTCCATTATATGACCTGCTATGTTCTGTTTATATAACGTTTTTAACTGTGTTTGGCATTGATTATATTCACCTAGATCACCCTATAAATTATTTATAATTAATATACCACGATAAGGCTATTTAACGATACCCACAAAACTCTTCGCCAACCTTTTCAAGGGCAATTCGAGCGTGTGTCTCATAGACTTTAACGGTAAACTCGTTTTGTATATGTTGTACCTTGGGGTTAAACAGCATTAGAGAAATACAACTGCTAATAGTTTGTATTATTTGAAATGAAAATCGATTATCATACCGTTAAATCTTGTCGCAACGATTTGAATTGATCGCAGATGTATGTATAATTTTGCTCTTCTCTCCATTTATCCTTCAGAAATTCTAATGTTTTCTGTAGAACTTCTAAAGGTCGGACAGAAGAAGGATCAGGTTCCTTGAAAATGATCAAAAGTAAAAGATTATTATGATTGAATAGTAAAGATTAAAATTAAAGTAATTAAAAAAAAAGAAAAGACTTACAGAAGTAAGCCGAAGATAATTTTTTTCTAATTGTTGGCTTGTACCAACTATTATTTTGAATTGATTAGCTACACTGCTGTCGTCCTGGATTCGCAAAAGAATGAAGAATTCATTAATATAGTACACGCATTATTCAAAAATTTGCCGTAAATATTACCAGATTATTAAATGGGGGTATCTCTTGGCGCTCAGATGTATTACTTGCATCTGCTCCCCCAAATCGTTTAAGACGTTTTTCCCTTTTTGATTGTTCGCCAATATCAACTTCTATCTGGACTGGTCTTTCTGGCGACCTTACACTTAATAAAGAGGAAATGAATAATATAATAAAAAACTAAATTTGCACGCATCAAAATGATTAAAATAAATACCCACACTTTTCGTTTTGAGTCGGCTTTTGAATCGGCATTCTCTGTACATGCCCTAGAAATAATTATTTATTATTAATCTTAATAATATTATTATCATTATTATTCCATCTTACAATAAATTAATAAGCAATTGACTAGTTAATACTGTACGCTGGTAATTTCATGCTAGCCCAATCAGTTGACCACATCGCCCGATTATCCAATTTTTTACTAATCAATTCTTTTAATTCTTTTTCAACTGCATCAATATTTTCCCCTGCAGCATCGAAGCTACGTCTAACGTATTCCCTATTTTAAAGAAAAAATCATTGATAAGTATGATTGTATTCAAATAGTTAATCTTAAAATATACAGTTTGATAGTTACTTTAAGCTATCGGGCCATTGTTCTTTCGATTCTTTGGCAGGAGACTTTTGACGTTGTTGATTTGCAGAAGTCGAAGGTCCCGATCTTGAATCATCTAAGGGATTTCGACCGGGAGTTTTCTTTGATAATTTAGTCATTTTGATAGGATGATAAGCAGGTTCTATTCAAGAGTAATAAATATTAAGCTTTTGTTTATTTATTAATGGTAATAGGTGAACAATAAGTTAAAGAAAACATACTATGTTTTGTTTTTTCCTTGCTGGATTGTACATTAGATCCGACATTTAAATTAGCTATTCCTGAAGTGGTTTGTTGTACTTTATCCAGTGTAAAAGGTTTAGGTTCTGCGTCTTTTGATTTATTTATTGCAGATGAGCCCGTAGTTGAAAAAAGATTCGTAGAACTAAAATAAAAATGGAAAAAAACTTGAAAAATTATGAATGGATAAATGCCAATGATAACCATATGATACTAACGCTTGCATTGTAGAAGATCTATCCGATGTTGTTGTACGAGATGGTGTGATGTTTGCGATAGTAGTCGGAACACTGATAGCAGGAGTTACTTCTTTGATGGTACCTGGAGGAGCAGGTTGAATTGGAAACCCGGGAAAAGTGGTGGTAACTGTTGGTGTGATAGTTGGCGAGGCGGCAGTCGGTTGGTTTGAATAAACAGCAGCAGCGTAAGTTTGAGTTTGATAATAATTATTTGGATCAAACGCAGCAATATAAGTATTCTGTTGCCCGTAATATGTTTGATTAGAAATTTGTTGCTGCTGTTGCTGCTGCTGCTGCTGTTGTTGTTGTTGCTGTTGCTGCTGCTGTTGTTGTTGCTGCTGCTGTTGCTGCTGCTGTTGTTGAGTAGTGGAGGCGCCGGTATACCAGGAAGAAGCTGAAGTGACACCGGGTGGATCGGGTTGTGCGTTACTAGAAAGCTGAGCACTAAAATCGGGAACTATACCAGGAGGATAAGTTGAATTTGTAGCTTGTGCAGTGTTAGGATAAGTGTAATAAGCTTGTTGCGAGGCGGTAGGGTTTTGAAAATATGAAGAATAGTCTGGTTGCGTTCCTGGTGGAGGTGGAATGTATTGCGCTTGATTATAATTTGGGTCATAAGCGTATGCCCTAGAGAACATAGAATCAAGAAATTAATAAGTGAGCGTGAAATCGTGTAAATCACTGGCGTCTATAGTTTCGTCATTCAGTTAACTTTTCTTTCCTAGAAATTACTCACCAAGTTTGTTGTGGATATTGAGGATTCTCGCCCATTTAGAAATCGAACTATACAAGTTCAATTCCAAGAACAAGTGATAAAAACCAAGATATAATTCGCATTTTTGACGATCATGATTATACAGTCATTTTTGGTTGATCGATATACTCTATATATTATACAACAAAAGATTTATTTCTTGATATGTTTGTATCAACCCAATTATCATGTATACCAACAAATACGTGATAATAAACCGAATACAATCTCGATGATTAATATACCACGTAAAACCATCCGCTTGCTACGAATAATGCTCAAGCGGAAACTTTGTCATCGCAGTCTAACTGGGTTTTCCAAGTTTTTTTATGTCAATGACTGCGAATGACACCGTGGACTCTTGAATTTGTTTGTTACATACAGTTTACATTCAAACTCTAACAATAAATTTATAAAAAGATAGCATTTAGCAATTATTTTTTTTATTGATTGAGGGATTTTAAAAAAAAAGTTTTCCCGGATATATTTATAACATTGTGCTCATCAAGATCTTTTGTAAAAGTTAATGATCGCTAATTAATTTGTTGACCCCGTGATATAGTGTAATGCTAGATAATAAACGCAAGATTTATTTTTTCATTTTTAAGATTAATAATGTGCGTTGTGGAAGTTGAGGAGTTTCAGCAGATTGGGTGGGCTGTTCAATTGGTGCTGGAGGTGTTTGTACAACTGGCTGAACTTCTTGAACTACTGCCTCCTTTTTCTTTCCGCCTTTCTTTTTGGAGCTTTTGCCCGAGCTAGATTTATTGGTCTTTGATGTTGATGCTTCGGGTTGAATCTGTGAATCAACAGTCGATGTTTGTCTCTTTGATTTTTTATTTTCAGTTTTATCCACCCCTTCATATTTGCGCTTCCTTTCAGTGACGACATTTTCCCCTTTCATAGATTCAGTTCTTTGAAGTTCTGTGGATTGCTGCTTAACTTCTGCGTGTAAATGAGGGCGAGTAAGAGTGATATCTTCATCCTTATAAGATGGAATCCAACATGGCGGTCCAAGATCTTTTCCCGTTATTATTCGTTGGAGCTGTCGTCTAATAGTTAGAGAAGGATCTGTCATCGCTACCTCCTTAAGATACTTGACTGCAGATTTGGTTTTCCATTGATCAAGTGAGATTATTGCACGGATAGCCGCCAGACGAACATCCGGATGATGCCCATAGAGTGAGAAAATTAAGAACAGATTCTTGTCTTCGGGTAATAATTCATTAGACAAGCTTTTCATAAGTTTGTGTTTGGTATCGATGTATGCTACCGTTGTGACATTTCTGTATGTCGGGAACATCATGTCTCGATACCGATACCTTTCCAATTCTTGGAGGGCTTCTTCGAGAGAGTCCGAAATATCTTCAGAAATATATTCTGTCTGGTTGTCACTTATATTATGTCTATCTGATGTGAATGCGTTTCCAAGTGCACTAATAAGTGTTGCAACATAATAATTATCGGAAAATTCATTTTCTGTGTTATCATTATATCGTAGCAATTTCAGTATGAATTCAACGATCTCTGCTTGATGATGCCTTGCATTTGATATTGCCCACACGATACCCTTTTTGACAAAATAATCACTTAAGTTAGAGAAATTGTTTGCATCTGGCACGTACTTCTCACCGTTCGTGATACAATAAAGTTTCTTAAACGTTTTAATCAATTGATTAAAACCAATCGAACCAAGATCAGATCTGTTCGTTCTGCCTACACATTTTGCCATTGCATAGGCCGCCTCCATGCGTACTTTACAGTAATACCTCTCATCCAACAATGTCTGAAGAAGAGTGCTTGAAGCTTCGCGTGAAGGTAGATTTCCAAGCATTTGAACGGCTTCATATTGGGCCAAGATATCGATATCTTTTTGCAATTGAGTTGCCCACATGTAATCCGGCTGATTAAATTGCATCTCACAGAGCCACCCATTATCTTCATTTACGCGTATCCATTCAAAGGTTTCTCCAGTAGAATTACCTTTTTCATCGTCAACTTCTTCCCCCCACGCTGTAAACTCCCATTCATATTTTTCGCTGTCACTAATTTTGTATCCCCACATTACAGATCCTGCATTTGATGCTTTCATTTCTTCTTTAGCTGCAGCTTGTTTTTCTTTGAAACGTTTCGTGTTTCTTCGTATACGTTTATATTTCGTATGGTATGGAACTTGATGTTTTTCGTTTGAACCCTGGATATTGAGCATGTGCTCATAAGATTTTCCATCGGCTTCATGAACACAGACGATCATTGGTCCTGTAAATACAGGCATTGGCTTAATACCACACGCAAATGCATCACCGATTTTGCCGTCAATGGCGTTGGTATTTTGTTGTGATATTTGAAATTCCACCATCATTTTTTTACGATTAAAGTTATACTTGATGTCAAATTTAGGACAGCCGCTAGAATATATCCATTGTTGGAAGAATCTTTTAATCATGTCCACCCGTTCGGGAACAGCAGCTGTACATTCATCCGTAAAGATCCTCGTCGAAATTAAATTAAATTTTAATCGATTATTCTGGGATGCACGTAGAATAGATGCTATTACACCGGGAATTCCGGGGTAATATGCGCATCTACGTATGCGAATATCAAGCATATAAAGAACCAATGTCCCTTTAAGTCGCATAAAATCTACGTCTTTGTTATCCAATTGATTGCCAATATTACGATCTACTAACGGAGGTCGTCCAACATCCATTTGGCATACTCGTTCCATATCCTTTTTAATGCGATATTTCATATCATTTTTGCCAAAAAGTTTCGTTAAGAACAATAGTGCAAAATAATTCGCCAATGAAAGTATTAGCCATACATCGGACATAAACAGCGGCAGGATAAACACGCCAAACCACTGAGTAGCCAAGGCTTGAACCATTCGCACCCGTGTATCGTAAGCTTGATCAATAATCTCGGGAGGATGTAAAAGATCAAAGCTACATATTGACATACTCGCCAGCGATGTAACAGGAGCAAAAGTGTTCTCGACGAATACCAGTTTATAAGATTGATACGGGAAGAATCCAGGTGATTTTAACAGCTGAGGCTCGGTCAAGTTCGGAAAATGATTATGGAAATTTTGATATTCATCCATGAAAAATTTCATGGCATCGTTTAAAAATGACCAACGATCAGCGAGATCCAAACCAAAGGTCGATTTTAACACTGCAGATCGACGAGGAAGACAGTAACCACTAATTTCCGGGTGATTTTTACCATTATCACCATATTCAAACACCACATGTTCAAATGGTCCCGCTGCAAAACCAATATGATGTGCCGATGTTGGCACATCCAACTTGTATTTAAAAATGTTTTTTGTTACTGTTTCTTTTGATGACGGATCAATCGGTGCTTCGACGCTGCTTTCTTCGATACATACACCGTTCGAGACAACGATCATATTATACTTTGCGAAATTCGATACTGTAAACTTCAAATCCCATGTGCACCTTTCCAATAGATGATCTATAGAAGGGAGCCAAAGTCGTGCAGCGCCAATTGTCGGCTGATGAATTGTATACATGTGAGGATGAAAATGTGGAGCAATTCTTGCATCCCTTTGAACATAATGAATCCCCCCTTGTGGCTTCTCTAATTTATAGTAAACCTTAACTTCGATATTCCCCCCTTTAACCCATTTAGGTAAATGTTCCTCAGGGATTTTAACTTCCACCTCCCCATGATAAGCTTGTTCAGCCGCGATAATAAATTCTGATCCGGTCCCATTGACTTGCACTTCTGAAATTTTGCACTGTCTACTGTTGAAGCGGACAGTTTCATTCGAAACTTCTTTATATGACGATATGGAAAGCGTCGTTGAACCCTTTATTGAAAAAGTGCACAGATCAATTTCAATGTCTACACTTTGATGTGTGAGCTTAAAGCCGCGTGAACGCGCATATTCTTCATAGGATCTTGTTTTAGTACCTTGTGTTTTTGGCATTTATTGCGAAAAAGTGTTTTGTCGTAGTTTTCTGTTACATTTTATTGAATTACAGTTATGTCGTTTATTTTAAATAAAGAATTCACGTGATTCCAAAACTTGAAAAGAGGAATAGACGTGCACCACATTCATTTACGCGTTTCTTTATAAAATATACCTATTGCGCACGTCATTACTCTTTTTCTAGTTCTTAAACCCAAATTTATTGTTGTTCCTCGCGGATTTTTCAAAAGAGTGAGCGGATTATGGGACGCCTAATACGTTTAGAGCTAGAAAACTTTAAATCATATAAGGGGCACCAAACCATTGGTCCATTTCTTAATTTTACCTCGGTAATTGGACCTAATGGATCAGGTTAGGGATTTTTTTAATCTTAACAAAACTTTCGGTATAGCCTGTTTGCCAATGGTCCTTTTAATCGGTTCTCGAAATACCTTGCCAATTATTCATACTAAGCATGTTCCAGTACAAAGTGTTAATAAAAAAATATATTATCGAATTTTCATTTAGCTCTTCATATCAATTCTTCATTCTTTTTACGACAGGCAAATCGAACCTAATGGATGCTATTTCCTTTGTGTTGGGTGTAAAGTCTGCACAATTACGCTCGTCACAGCTACGTGATTTAATATATCGTGGACGCGCTATGCAAGATGAGGAAAATGATGAACTTGACATCGAATCAACTGAAGGACGTGCCAACAATCCTAGAAGGGCATGGGTTATGGCCGTATATCAGGACGATGGTGGAAACGAGATCAAATTCACTCGAAGGTATATGCCAATTTGATAATAATAGTTGGTCGATTGATTTTACAGAGTATTTAGCATATATAATGTGCATTATCCTATCGATAAATATATTAGCATAACCTCATTCGGAACGAGCGAGTATAAAATAAGTAATAAAGTGGTCACATATGCGAAATATAACGACACCCTTGAAAAACAAAACATTTTGGTCAAGGCTAGAAATTTTCTTGTCTTTCAGGTAAAATTTTGTATCCTTTTTATGAATACACGATCCATAATATTGACTCTTTACTTGATTCTTTTCTGCAGGGTGATGTTGAAGCTATCGCATCACAGTCTCCCAAGGACTTGACAAAGCTAATCGAGCAAATTAGCGGGTAAATATTTTGTGATAATGAAAGCCAAATCCACTTTTTGAAATTCTCTGATTATTTTATTTTTCTTGCCAGTTCTTTGGAGTTGAAAGCTGAATATGAGCAATTGAAAGTTCAACAAGAAAGGGCTACCGAAAATTCTACATTCAATTTTAATAAGAAACGTGGAATCAATGCAGAAATCAAACAGTACACGGAACAAAAGCAGGAGGCCGAACGTTTTGAAAGATTATTGGCCGAAAAAGTAAGCGAGCTGTGAACACTTTCATCCAATTCGATTAAATCGAGCTGTATAATAATGGATTTATGAATATAATAATTTTATTAGGCGAAAATTGAAGTCCATTTTCTTCTTTGGAAATTGTTTCACATTCAAAAGAAAATCGACTATTACAAAAAGCAAATTGATAAACTTAATGACCAGGTCGAAGAAAAACAACAGGAACAGGTATCAAGAAGGAATTCGCTTTAACACTCATGACATATTAGCGTGCACGCGAACTTTAATCTAAATCAAAATTTATTTCCGTGTTTTTTATTTCCTAGCAAGATTTAAATGAAGAATTAAGAAGAGCGCGCCAAGGAAAAAGTGAATTTGATAAACAACGAAACAATCTGGAAAGAAAAATAAGAGGAAAAGAGGCAGAAATTGAAGACAAAGTATATTTTTTATATTTTCTATTGTGTAAATAGATAAATGAGACTTCTTATTGATTCTAAGACGACAATCTTAGCGTCCAACTTTGCTGACTTTAGAAGAAAAGATTTCGCATTTTAGCAAGAAATTGATTCAATATGAACAAAATGCAGAAAAGGTCCGAAAGGAGCATGAAAAACAGGTAGGCTTGCATTTATATTATATAGTGTTGAAACATAATTAGATGTCGGTTAATTATCTTTCTGTTAATTTTCATAGTTCATAGCTGTCGAGAGGTTACGAAATGAACTTGAAAATGTAAACAGGGCTGCAGCTAAATTTGAAGGTAGATTTCGAGTTGACTTGTGGAAAGTGAATTTGTGCTAAAATCATTTATTTATTGAATTTCTTTGAATAAAAGAGGAAAGCAGTCAAGGAGGCAGTAAAAGAAATACGTCTTTAAATTCCAATGAACTTGCGGAATATAATAAAAAGTTAGTTCGAATTTGTGTTATTGGTAAATAATTTTAGAAATCATCCTCAATTTCTCGTATCGACAGGAAAGAAGAAGTAAACAAAAGAACTGTGACTCAAAAGCAGGAGCTTGAAAATCTATATCGTAAAGAGAAAACTGATAATGAATCTGCACGACGATTAAAAGAAAGATTGGACGAATTAAACCGGCGTCGTCAGCAACTTATAGAAGACAAAGATGCACTATCAAGTCATGAAGAAAAAGTAATAGATCAAATTTCTCATGTGTCCTTTATATTGAATCTAATGGATCTATCATCTCTTTAAAGGTTTCAGAATATGTGTCGCAACTCTTAGCAGATATCGACACAAAAAAGAGAGATCTTAATTCACTTGTTGTCGAAAGAAGTAAAATTAGGTCGGTAATCTAAAACCTGCGGGATTCTTTCTTTTTGTTCCTGCTAAACTTTGCTGCTCTTTTCATAAAGTCGTGAAGAAAATGAATTAAATCATAAACTTCAAGAAATTCTCAATCAACTCATGGACGCCCGAGTGGATCAGAGAGAATTGGAGCGCCGACAAAAAATGAAAGATTTACTCGAAAGCCTGATGAGAGTGTTCCCCGAAGGTGTACATGGACGAATGATCGATTTATGTAAAACTACTCAACGGAAATATGACGTGGCAATAGCAATCATTCTTGGAAGAAATATGGAAGCTGTTGTTGTCGAGACAGAGAAAATTGGACTTGAATGTATTAAGGTTAGGATTTGCACGAATCTGATCAAATTTTTCTTTACGTTAGCTTAACATCAGCCTTGCGCTTTTTAATAGTACATACGAGAGCAACGACTAGGTCAAGCTACCTTTATTCCGTTGGATACGATTTCTGTAAAACCTATTAATGATAAGTATAGGAGTATGCTAAAAGGTGCAAGGTTAGCGATTGATGTAATCACTTTTCAAAGAGATTATGAGAGAGCTTTTCAATACGCCTGTGGAAATACCTTAGTTTGTGATACTTTGGAAATAGCCAAAACAATTTGTTATGGGAAAAATGAAGCTGTCAAAGGTATTTTTAAATATCTATCGGTAAATTTAAAGAGTCTAAATTATATGCTCGAAATAGACGATAACTTGAGATTGTTGCGTACTTTTCATAGCTGTCACTCTAGATGGCACAATTATACATAAGAGTGGCCTAATCACTGGTGGTCAAAGCGGAATAGAAGCTGGTGCACGAAAATTCCAAGAGTCAGACTTTGATGGTAAATAAATTTCTTTACATAGAGATAAATATATGTATATGTATATGTATATGATATCAAACTAACTTTGAAATTTTTCTCTTAATGGCAGCAATGAGTCGTAAACGGGACTCTTATATGTCGCAATTAAATGAATTGAGCAAATCGAAACGTAAAGGTAATATCGAGGAACAAATTAAAGGTGAAATATCCGCATTCGAATCAAAATTAACTTTGTTTCGTGAAGATCAGGTATATTGCTATTTCATTTTCAGAATAAAAATATTATTTTGATCGTGTTTTTTTGTTGTGGAAATTCAATTTGTATGATGCAAGTTTTTTCAATAACTTCACATGTAGAATGCAACAAGGCGGAGATTGGCTTCTACAGATGAGGAATTGAACTTGATTCAAAGTGAGATCAAACATATACAACCAAATGCCAATAAGGTTTGTTTATGAATGTTATACAACTTTACATTTAAATTATTAGTCTCCAATTATTAAAAACTTTATAGGCTGAAAATGATTTAGCCGCTCTGAAATCAAGAATTGCCTTGCTAGAAGGTGAAATCAATGCAATTGAAGATAGCATATTTGGCGAATTCTGCGAGAAAATTAGAGTTGCGAATATACGTGAATACGAACAACGTCAACTAAGGATGACACAAGAAGCTGCTGAAAAAAAATTACAGTTTGCTACGAAACAATCGCGACTTCAAAATCAGTATGTAAAACATAAGACATTTGTTAAACTTATAATTTAGCCTCTTATGTATCTGACCTTTGAAAATATTTATACTTGATAAGGTTAAAATTCGCGGATGAGCAACTCAATGAAACTGCCGACCGCTTAGTAAAGCTTCAAGAGTTAATTGACAGAGATACCTATAATTTGTCAGACTATGAAGCAAAACGGGATCAAATCATACAGGATAATGAAAACATCTCGGAAGAGATTCAGGAACTCAACGAAAATTTAGAAAAAGTCAAGGAAGAACTTTCTGCTAAGACAGATATGCTAAATAATATAAAAAAAGAATTGGGAAAAGTCAATAAAGAACTTGATAAATTATCCAAAGATGTGATCAAAAGGGTGCGTTCTAGTGATTCTTTTTTATTCACTTTATAAACTCTTTCGTTTACATCCATTATTTATTATAGGAAGATGACATCAAAAGGAATCGTAGTGACCAATTCTCTATATTTCGCAAATGTAAATTGGAGGAGATTGATTTACCGTTACTTGAAGGATCACTGGATGATATACCAATTGAAGATCAGGTAATCTCCTAAAAATTTTGTTCTATAATGCATTGATAGTTCATTAATATTAAATAAATGTAAAGCAACCTCAAGACGATCCATTTGAAATGGAAATCGATGATGAGCCTGGTCCATCAACTAGAGGAGCAGATCGATATGCACGGCTGGATACCGATTGGCCAGTATTAATTGATTTCTCAGAATTGACCCGACATCAGACAGATGTAAGAAAATATTTCTTAATATCGAAAATTCAACATCTTAACCATGACGCATGGTTATGTATCTACTTTGAAATTATTTAGACCAATACAGATAATATGGCAAATATGGAAAAACAATTCCACGCTTCGCTTGCTGAAAAGAATGCGGAAATTGAAAGGATGGCTCCTAACCTAAAAGCTATCGAGAGGTTCGTGTTTTTATCTTTTTTTCTGTTTTGTTAAAAGTTAAGAAATTAAGAAACAATATTTATGTTAGATTGGATGTTGTTGAGCAACGTTTGCAAGACACAGAAAAAGAATTTGATAGCGCAAGGAGACAAGCAAAGACCGCAAAGGAAAAGTTCAATATAATCAAACAAAAAAGGTAAATAAATATTTTAACATTATCGTTATGATAAGAATGTTAATAATTTTAGTAATTCTAGAAATTCTCAAAAGTTTCTTCATTGCCTTTCATCAGATATCAACGCTTTAATGACGCATATAGTCATATATCAGAGCGGATTGACCAAATTTACAAGGATTTGACGAAAAGTCGAAATTTCCCATTAGGCGGGACAGCTTATTTGAGTTTAGAAGATACAGAGGTATTGACAATCTTTTATCCTGTGAATATAATTTATTATCGGAGTAATTAACACCTCTTAACATTTATCCGCAGGAACCTTATTTAGATGGGGTAAAGTATCACGCCATGCCTCCCATGAAACGATTTCGTGATATGGAGCAGTTATCTGGTGGAGAAAAAACCATGGCTGCCTTAGCATTGTTGTTTGCTATTCACAGGTACATTAAAAGTTTCGAATAATAATTTCTCCATCATTAGCTTTAGTTCTTTTTATTAAAGAATCCATAAAATTTAGCTATCAACCATCGCCATTTTTTGTACTCGACGAGGTGGATGCTGCTCTTGACAATACAAATGTGGGAAAAATTGCAAATTATATTCGAGAACACGCGTCCGACACTTTTCAGTTTGTTGTCATATCACTAAAAAGTACTCTTTACGAGAAAGCACAAGCTCTCGTGGGGATATATCGCGATCAAGAAATAAACAGTAGTAAGACTATAACATTGGAAGTATGTATTAAAAAAGCTATTGTTTGTTATTATTGATTCCTTTGTTTGATACTGAGTTTTATTGTTCATCTCTGTTTTTTTCAGGTCGATAATTATGAAGAATAAAAATAGTACCCAATTGAGATGATTTATACGCGTTAACCCTTTTTTTTACTATAAATTCACTTATCAACTATTCTTTTCATGTTCGGTGGGATTTTTGGTTCCCATCATTTACCCTAATAAATTAATTTTTGGTTCCCATTATTTACCCTAACTAATAAATTAGCAATGTATTATTATTAACTTCAATAAATTAATAAATTAGAGCAATTTATCGGTAACATAATTTCTGGGTTACCATGGCGAATGCCTATACTTTCTCTCAAAGGATGCATTATTACATTAAGGAATATATTTAAATCATCGTGTCGATTAGAATTTAACCATTTGGTGGAAAAAAATATCGCTTTATCGTTATTATATTTCTTGTCATTAGTCAGCTAAAATTGTTAATGTGAAATTATAATGTACCCTTACAAATAGTTTTTTAATAAATGATCCATTCATAATTCTAAGGAAGAGTGGGATAAGAAATCAAGTATAAGGCGGTGTCTTGCCATGGTTTACTGTAACTTGGTTGACATTCTTTAAAGTCCAACAATACCTAATTTATTACATATATAAAGATCACCTTCGGTTGTCAGTTCATCTTGCAATCCATAAATGACGACTATTAGAATTTCCTATAATAAAAATTATATCAATATTATTGATTCTCATTCGTTATATTATTAGTCAGAATCTAGATATTCACCTTCACTACAACCTTAAGTAGAACGTGTCTTAATACTTGTAGTTTAAAATATAACGAGCTAGTTATCCTAATCCTATAATTATTTGATCCTGGTCTGCAGAGTGGTAGTTTTGAGTATAGTATAACACGGGAACAATTACACATTATTATTATACATAATCAATATTAAGAACAACAAGAAATCAAGTATTGAATTTCTTACATTTGAGTTTAATTTTAATTTACGCGTGTTTATTATGGTTCGTGCAACTTGTTTGACGCCAATTTCCAGCTAAAATGATTAGAAGCATTACTAATTATAATATATCTTTTTGTCTGTAGCTTTTGAATAGATTCCAAGTCCAAAATAATGTTAGAAAGCAATCATCATATTTATAAACTTCTTCAATAGACTTGGCAGATAAATTATTGATTTTGCAGGAAAGTAAAAAATGATTGCTTACATCTCCAGGCTAAGTTATCTCGAGGCGAGTTTTGATTATTCAAGTCCGTATCAGAAACAAGCTTTCGATGTGCTTAGTGTTTAACGCATTTGTGATTTCCTTGATACGTGAAACTCCACTAATGGCTATACTTACATGATAAAGAAAATAGAAAAGTTAATTTTAATGCACGCTAAAAGTCATAAAGCCACAAACCTGGTTCAATTCTTGCATTAAGGTATTTTCTTCTGCAAATGTTGAAAATTTGAGTTATTTTTTAGTTATATTCAGCAAACCATTAATAACATTTTTATAGAATACTTATGCCATCGTCCAGTTCAATTAAAGAATTTAGAACATACTCGTGGTGTATATCCGCCAGCTTTATTATCTTTTTCTACAAATTCACGCACCGAATCGATGTAAATTTGGAGCTTTCAACATGATGTCTAGGGTTTCATTCGGCGATAGTGCTTTGTTTTCTCAGGGAAGAGTATCCTAGAATAATACACAAAAGATATTTAATTATATAATTCATTATAATTAAAGCAATTATATTTTTTAATAAATTAATTAATGCGTTCGAATCAATCGGTGTTTTTTGCTGATAATCATAAAAATATGATATGTTCTTTCGCGCAGTGCTTTAGAAAACGAAGTAATGAAGGATCTTAAAAATTATCTGGTATACAACTCCCAATTTAATGTTTCTCTTTCTTTATTCACCAGGCATTATATCACCGATACCAATAAGGATCCTTGATTAGCTGTAAAAATTCGATTTATAGTTCATACAATTACCGTGCCAACGAGTATCTGCAACCTTGCCAACGAAAGCACAGCTTGGATAATCTAAATTAAAAAAAAAAGAAAAAAAAGACTTAGTAACCATCATTAGACTAATAAAATTAATCTTCGCAAATATATT